TTAACACAAAATGCATGTCTTTCAGTATGTGAGAGTAACTCCACCTCACCTAAAAATCACTAACAGCCAGATATTTCAAAGGTATCGTTACTAGTACCATTTGACAAGGAAACTAACCCACAGCTAAAGGTTCAGTGTGTAAGATTTAGTGCCATCTAGTAGTGAGAGTTGTGAATTGCAACCAGTTTTCCAGTCTGCCACTGCCCCCCACCTTTTCTAAGAGTGTAGCACAAAAAGGTATCTCTTCTGAAACAGCAGAGAGTAGCCAGCGAAGAAATGAGGTTTCTTTAGGTATATTTATTAAGGAACTATATTTACTTAATTATTCTGTAAAACCATATGTTATTGTGACTTGGCCACTGACAGATAACATAGGAAATGTAAGCCAAGAGTGTGAAACACTGTCACTGTTTCTGCACCACAGTCCATTATTAACCACACATTAGATAAAGTGTATACAAACATTGACATTGACTTTGTGATCCTCGGCAAAACTGCCCACCAACAATAATATCTGACTACAAAAAATAGAAATATTTGCTGCAAAATCCATTTGTCTAAGAGAAAAAAAAGCCATTCCATGGTGGGACTGAACTCTGAACCCTTGGGTTGCAAGTCCTTCACTGTACCAACCGAGATAACCAAGGAACACATCAATGTAAGTGAATATTATGGCTTATATTCTCACCCACCATCTACTGGTGGGAACTGGTTGCTTGCCGACCCCTACTGTACTTCTTCATCCTCTAACATACGTATTCAACATAGTGATAAGTGTCTGTACTGCCTGAATTTTACCAGAAGTACAATGTAGTGGGACAACAGTGTGGATTTGTGCATTTTATATTAAATAAATTTGAACTACTCAAAACTATCCCCCTCTCCCTGAGAGTGAGGAGCAGGGAGGTGGAGATCAAATTTCAACAGACGGCTGAAGAGACCCCAACAGAATGGGGGGTGGAAAGGTCACTTTCTCTAAGTGCTATTCCCGAGCAGTTGATCGTAAAACTGGCACGTTTTGATTCCGAAGCTGATAACGCGGTGCCTGACAGTTAAACTGACAAAAGGGACATTAACCAGCGTTGTTGTTGCTATCTGTTGTTGATATTATTGCTGTAAAGAATCTAAATAAGTTACTTTTGCAGTGTTTTTATTTTCAGCAAGATTAAGGACACTCCTTCATCTTATGTGTAACTAATGCTTGTTCACAATACTTTCTCACAATTCCTTTAGAAATGATGATAAAGAAATGTTATACTCTATTAATTGCCAGCTTGAAAGATTGTTTGGATTAATCTAAGCTTTCCTCATATAACCTGAGCTCCCCCAAGTGGATGAAATAAGTATTACATACCATCGTCGGAAATGCCGTTAATGTATAAATGTCACCCACTTATCATGGCCAATAATTTGACAATTGTTTTCCTGTTACCAAATGCTTAACTCAGAACGGTACAACTGTTTGACCATTGAGGTTTGATTGTGGAAAATATTTGATTATAATAGGCGCAAATAGATTTTCTTTTCTTTTATAGACATTAAAAGTTTAGAAAGGCAGTCCCTCGGGAACCTGGAAACGCCCCCTGGGGGAACCACGCCCCAGACCACAAAAGAGCGACGCACGACGTCGCCCGCTCTCTTCTCTTCTCCTCGTGCTCTGGTTTTTCCCGCTCTGCTCTCTGGACGCTTCGGCACGCGTCTGCCTAAGAATTCGACCAGCGCAACAAAGCCTTTGTTTGCTTGAAGTTACACACACAAAGTGCCGCGACATCGATTTGTACCTCAGTTCCAGCAACCTTATTTGTTTTATTTTTCTTTCTGTCTTTTGGTTTTGTTAAAGTTATCAGTCCCTTAAGTTACACTGGTCTAATTCAGGAACGACCAAGTTCCCTTTTTAAGCTTTTTTTTCGTCGAGCTAAGCCCACGGAGGTCGGACGACCCCACGTGGCTCGCCAGCAACCACAAAGGACGACTTAAACCTGACCCGAGACAGGGTCGGGAAGGCCCCACTGCAAGTTTCTTCCATAAGCCTTCCAGAGACGGACCCCGGAAGAAATTCCCTGGCAGAGAAAGCGACAGCTTTAAGTTGTCCTAACCGAGAACGCATGGACTCTGCCAGTATGAGGCCATTTACCAAAAAGCCAAAAAGCATAATACCACCTCTTTAATGACAATGACTGCAGATAATCAATCAGATAATTTTGAAGTGTGCAGATAATTATTTTTCACAACAGAGTAACTTCTCAATGTCACATTTGTCTCTTAAAGAAATGTCAAAATAAAACAGTGTATAACCAATATAATCAACCTTTCATTTTTTACTTTCTACTAACTTATATGCAAAATGTTAACCTATAAATACCATCCTAATATTTTCATTTACAGCTGTTCACTATAATATATTGTTGAATTTAGATCACACTATTTCCAATTAACATAGGAAGCTGATGATGAATGAAGAATGTGATTTTATGTAAAGTAGTTTTAGTCAGATAAATTTTATAACAAAGTATTGCTAATACTAATCCATAATAATATATTAAACTCTTGTCTTGCATTCATGGAAACATCAATATTAAAAGATTACAAATGTAAAAGTAGTTTTGTATGGCTTGAAATGTGTTGTAAGAGTTATTATAATGATGGAATCTGTTGATAAGAACCCAGTGCCATAATTTCACATCAGTAGTATTCAGGTGTTGTGAGTAAAAAGAAAATGATGTGCAAAGCAGGAGCTGAAGAGCGGGGTGGCGATGGTGCAATGGATAAGACTATGCCTTTAGTGTGAGGGACCTGGGTTCAATCCCCCACTGTAACTCATCTACCATTGTGTCCCTGAGCAAGACACTCTCAACAGACCTCTGACATGTTTTGGATAAAAGCATCAGCTAAATGAATAAATGTAATGCAATGAAGAGCCTCGCTGGAAGCTGGAGCTGTTCTCTCCAGAAGAACAGGAGTCCAGCTCCTGGACACAGCAAATCACATCTGGGGGGTTCTGCAATCAGCTCCTCTGGCACCTTTCAAGACAACAATGGGTAGACAGTTAAGCAGCTTCTTCCAAAGTGCCATAAAGCTGCTGAACTCTGAGATCGCCTCAGCATGATAACCTCTCTGGCATGTGACAGTAATTAGGGGTGGCAATGTGAAAAACACTGTTTACTAATATGTGCAATATACGGTTACAGCTCCTGTCTGCAGGCATAACGCTCATTATATGCTGACAAAAAAGGTGGATGCAAATCTCTGCAGGTAGCCTAAAACATCTGTTCTGTGGAATAATGCATCCACCTCTTAAGCTCCCTATCAGAAACGTCGCTCATCAAACGCAGTTATCACCTGACTGTTTGCTGAATCACAAGGACTGCTACATCTACTAAGTGTAATAACTTCTTGATGACTCTAAACATCCTTCAATATGTACTTCGAATCAATCATCCCCACTGATGAACCCGACAAAGAATATATTAAATTGTTTTTAAACAGCACACTCGGAGGTGCACAGCTCTCCTCTGCAGTAAAGCAGAACTCTATTACTCTGTTCCCCCCCTTAGACGCCTGTTCCCCCCCTATTAGACGCATGTCACTCAAAGCGGCCACGCCCCTAATAATGCAGACCTTTAAGGCTTAATATAATTTAAACAGGTGTAAACATGTTTTATTCTGCTGTAAATTTGTGCATTTTAACATGGGGGTCAATGGAGATTCCCTTCTGCAGCCAGCCTCAAGTGGCCACTCATTTGTTTGCAGCGTTTCTGGGAAGTGTGCTTTTCACACAACTCTGATCCACTTATTTACTTACTTATGTGAACTTGTGAACTTATGTCTACATTTTTGTTTAGTTGGGTTTTTTGTTTCTTTTGCTGCAGAAATTCAATACAAAAGATGGATGAATGAATTTCGCCAAGTTGAAGCCAGCCTTGTCAACGTAGATCATTTGCTGTAATGTGGGACTTGATTGGCCTCCAACTTCATGACTCTCTGAAAGTAATCAGACACAGTGTGTGTAAATAAAAGTATTTACACACACTGTGTCTGATTACTTTGCTGTATACCTACTGTATGTCCTACTGTACTTCAGGTTTATAGAGTAGTTTACTGCAAAACACACTATGTATTGTACAGTAATTGCATAACCTTACCGGGACATATTGGCGAAGGAGTTCTTTGATGAACTCATCGTTCCTATTAAAAGGAACTTTGTGTTATTTCTCTGTGTGGACTGTATGCATTTTGTGTCAATGCAACACGAAATGTGTTAATTGTATAGCCTACACAGACGGATGTTGTGCTGTGTCAAGAGTTTAGGAAAATTGTTTAAAGTATTGAAAGGATTGTCAAAGTGATAGTACAAAACTGTAAACTGTAAAGAGTCACTTCACCCAAATTACAACAAGACATATTTTCTGTCTTACCTCCAGCAGCATCTTGTCAGATGTGCTCTGTGTTACAGTGACACAGAGTCAGAATGACTGTGAGTGAGAGAGCTGCAAAATGTAATTCATTGTTTCTGATCTACTTTTCTTACATGTTTCTCAATACTGAATAAACACTGAGCTCAGCACGTGACTTTTTGCATCCCATACTGCTGCAGTCCATCTCTTTGATCTCATACTGGTATAAAGGTTATTTGACTGTCTAAAGATGCACTAGACGTGTCAAGTGATGCATCAAACCAACTTAAACACCTGTGTTGTTTTTGTGCTTAAAAAAAAGAAGTTTAAAATGAGTTTTCTCTTTTTGAATGGTCTTTTCTTGTATCAGTGGGAAGCAGCCACACAGGTTTAGTACCAACAGGACATAAAACTATTTTCTTATTCTCTCTCAGTAAGTTTATAGTTTGTAAAACGTCACAACTTCCATCTGATCATGTTTAAATAATCTAAAGAGGAAGGAAATGTCGTTTAACAGCTAGATATCTGTGTTCTGCTTACTGACCACAGAGGAAAGGCATCTTTAAAGACACCATACTTCTTCATGGTAAGTAGAATTGTTTATTCGTGTGACTGGTACAGGATCTCTCCTGCTGACATGTTTTAATGTCTCTGAAGCCACACAGACAGATGAGAGGAGCAGCTATGAGTTTAACTGCAGCAACGAGTGGATTTGTTGTCTTCCTTCTCTTTGTGTCAGGTAGTGTTTACCTAAACTTACATACACTGCTTTAAAATAGAGGAATCTGGGAAATGTAAGTCTTGTAAAAGTAGGCTGAAGTTCACATAAGTAAGTAAATAAGTGGATCAGAATTGTGTGAACTTCCCAGAAACGCTGCAAACACATTGCTTTAAATCAATTGCTTTAACTCCACATATGTAAATTTGTTTTTGTGTCAGTTGTAATGAATATTATGAAGATTTTGTTTTGTGTAAGCCAACGTCCTTTGCTCTTGTCTTTTGCATAATGTAACTGAGTGCTAAACACTTTTACATGATGTAAACTGAGAATATTTGGGGTTTTATTTGACCGTTCTTCCTTACTCTGTTTAATGTGTTCTACAGTTTTTTTACTTTGACAATCCTTTCAATACTTTAAACAATTTTCCTAAACTCTTGACACAGTCTTGACCTGCCAAATTTACAAATGCTTTCACAAATGACAGAAAAAACCCATCATGTTCTAAACCTAACTTATAGGCTAAAGTCAAAGTGAACAGCTTTTCATATTGTGACTTGAAACACAAATATATCGCCTTTATTTTATCCCATTGCTACTGAGAAACAGCTGATATGAGTTATGCAAATAGATTAATCGCATTCCCATCTAGGAAACACACTCACGTGTTGAGGTTCTTTCAATCGCACCATATGGTATATAGTAAAAGAGGAGCTCTTTGCGATGATCTTGTATGGGAAAGGAACCATATAGAGTAACACAAAGAAAGCAAGGAAAATTCCTGCACGAGAGAGAGGAACACGAGTACCGGGACAAGGGAGAGAAGTGGGACAAGGATAACCTCAGCCGGGACACAGTGGCATCCATTGTCTGGACATTTTGAGAAATAACTACACAAAGCTCCTTTTAAAAGGAACGATGAGCACGATAGTCATTACTGTACTATACATAGTGTGTTTTGCAGTAAACTACTCTATAAACCTGAAGAACAGTAGGACATACAGTAGGTATACAGCAAATTTTTTACACACACTGTGTCTGATTACTTTCAGAGAGTCATAAAGTTGGAGGCCAATCAAGTCCCACATTACAGTAATTGATCTAGGTTCACGAGGCTGGCTTCAGCTTGACGAAATTCATTCATTCATCCTTTATATTGAATTTCTGCAGCAAATGAAACATGCATGCATTTACTAAACCCAACAAAACAAAAATGTAGAGAGACTTCAAAAGAAACTGCAGTGCAAAGCATAATCTATGATCTGTACAATATAGTGTCTATTGTATAAGAGGCAGACCTGACACATAAAATAATGCAGTTTCTGTAATTCCACTTGAAATTAGTGTTTTTATGACATTGTGCAATGATTGACTAAATGTGTGTTGGAAGAGAACATGTGTTTTGGAAGAATGATTTGATTTTGGGTCATGTTTGCAGTGTTTTTATAGCACGAATATCAGTTCCTGTCTTGCAGCTACATTTATCACGGTAAAGGCTTTTGAGAGATATTGATCTCACAGTGAAGTCATACTGACTTAACTTTTCATATCTCTATCTGTATGAAGTCCTGCTAGTTCCTGTCTGACCACAGTGTGATGTTTCCATTGCTCTGTGTTGACAGCAGCAGGGTCCAAAAACTAACTTAACTTTTTTCACTGCCTGCCACTGTGACAAGCAAGTTTCTTTAGTCTGCCACTCAGAAATTGTATTTGTTTCTTTAGAAAGGTATGCACTAAGATAGCTAATTTTAATGTAGGGAAAATAATGTTGTCATTCCAATGTTAAACACAAAAATATTATACATGCATGTCTTTCAGTAAACGACAGTAAACCCACCTCACCTAATAATCACTAACAGCTTGATATTTTCAAAGGTATTGTTACTGGAACCAGATGCAGGAAACACAACCACAACACATGATTTCCACAGCCCCATTGAGTTCTTGATAAAGGCTATTAGTGTCCTGTTGATCTTGTACATTTCCAAGTATTCCAGTATCCATGTATGTGGCATTGAGTCGTAGGCGTTCTTGTAGTCAGTCCAGGCGGTGCCCAGATTGGTCTGCCTGGTCTTGCAGTCTCGAGTGACGGCTCTATCAACCAGTAGCTGGTGCTTGGCTCCCCTGGTATTACTACCCATTCCCTTCTGGGCCCTGTCCATGTATTGAGCCATGTGCCTACTCCTCTTAGCCGCTATGATACCTGACAGAGCTTCCATGTTGTGCAGAGGCAGGTTATTGGCCGGTAGTTGGATGGGATTGTTCCTGTCTGGGGGTCCTTCATGATCAGGACTGTCCGTCCTTGGGTTAACCTTTCTGGGTGGGTTCCATCCATCAGCAGTTGGTTCATTTGTGCTGCTAGTAGTGATGGGAAAAGTCACTCTTTTGAAAGACTCAAGTCACCAAATCTCGTTCATTAAAATTAACTAATCTTTTTTTTGTGTCATTTTGTTCATTTTAACTAGTGTGGTGTCCAGTGCTTATGCATTTGACTCCTAACAGTTCAAAATAGCACTGTAGCAGCAGGGCAGAGGGTCAGTGACCTTCTACGGGGAGAGCAGTGATTGGTGGTTATGTAGGGTATGAACCCTTCAATAGAATTTGACCTCTAACCCCTTGTTTTGTTACCTCAGAATAGCACTGTACCCTTCTATGGGTTTGACCTTTTATTTTGCAGACTCAAACCCTTTTATGGTAACTAACAGATACCTAAACATATCCTATAAGCTATGTTTGATGTACAGAGAGACAGAGTGGCCATCGGGCTGGGTCACTCTCCAAGCTGCTGCAGAGCTTGTAATTGATGCTGAACTCCTTGATTTAATAAACTTTTATGATCAAGAACAGTGTCAAGCGGTTTCCTGTCAACACATCATCGCGGCACTATGGCTCGGACACAACACTAGGCTGGTTATTGCGGCGCTACAGCACTCTAGTGGGTGATTTAAAAAAAAACACCACTGTTCTCAAAAACAGAAGGCTGCCTGGCTTGCTCTAATTGACAAGTATGATGCACAAATTCACCTCTTGATCTTTCTCTACAATGGTTCTATAAAGCCCCATGGAGCCACAACAAAATTCACAAACCATGTAAAAATCACAGAAATATGTTGTCAACATTCGATTAAGCCACTACTCCGGCTAAATCCGTCCATTTTCACAATCTTTCCTGAGTGTACTACCAGACCCAATTGTAATTACTATCACTATATCTCTAAAGTGCTCATTCATACAGTAGCCTAACGCCTATCCATAAGTAAAATCTATATATTAACATCAGATTAACAGGGAATATATTGAAGTAATAAGCTTGACACACTAGATGAATAAAACACACTCTTATTAAAATTTAACAAATTTAACAATACTCTCAAACACTGCAGGTTGTTCACCAGTGAGGAGCTGTGAAACAACAGCACGGCCTGTCGATAAATAAAAAATAAAAGTTAAGTTGCGTTCCCTGGCAGACCGGATCAGCTGTTAGCTGTAAACAAACCACAGGGCTAACGCTATAGTTGCTAAGTGGCTGTGTTATAATGGTTTAATGTCCGGGTCTGTTTGTTTTCGAGAGGAGACGACCTCTGTGGTAATTCAGCTCCCTGTTGAACCCTGTCAGGGCTCTGAAGTGGAGCGGACCCAGAACAACTCTCATCAGCTGTTGGCTGTAAACACTAGCAGGACTGAAGTTACGGTGCGGCTGTGTTAAAACTATAACTTAGCACAACATAACTGCGCTGTAATAACGTTATGCTTTATTAAATGTCAAAAAATTATCAAAATACATATTAGACATATGTCAGTCCAATGACTGTTACCTGACAAGAGACTTGCCTCCTTGGTGCTGGCAGTAAAGTGCAATTTATATTTCTGCGTCAAATCGATGGCGTAGGTGACAGCGTAGGCTATGGGGCTACGCAAAGGCTACGCCGTTGCCTGACTTGCATCTCCTCAAAAATGTAACTACATGTCGAGTCGACGTGGAGCGTAAGCTCTGTGATTGGTCGGTTGGGTAGCCTGCAAAACCTCCGAGCAGACCGGAAGTACCTCGCGCTTTGAAGTGAAATTTACTAGTGGCCAAAAAGGTGATTGTAACACTGTGGATCAATATATTTGACCGTCGCAACCCGAGCGAAATGACTCGTTTTGCTATCAGAATGTGATCCATTTGGTTGGTAACATTTGAAAAGGCAGCCGCACGTATGCAATTTTAGCCCCATTTACGTTAGTGGAGCGCATGTTTCAGTATTATTTGTGTGAATAGATGAGCGATCTGTGTGTAAATGTGTAATCTGTAAATATAAAACACTTTACCCAAATGACACAAGTTGATTTTCTTTCCATCGGCGGAAAGTTTGTTTCAAAACTCTGTGTGTGAAGAACTGAGATTGACAAATACAGGCGGCACTCACAAATGCCTGTTTGAAAGTTGTAAATTTTAGGAAGATATTCACAAATGTGGTTCATTTATTTGTAAAGCTTTAAATATATTCACAGATATTTACAAATCTTCATTTTGTGTGCAAAGTGTTTTATAATTACAGATTACACATTTACACACAGATCGCTCATCTTTTCACACAAATGATACTGAAACATAAATACCCTCATAAAACAGCTAAAGTCAGAGATCTTGATAGCAGTTTTCTGCTTATCTTATGTTTAGCTGCTAGAAACTCTCCCACACCTCAGTGCGCTGCATTTATTTTTAGCTTTCACACTTAACTCAGCAGCAACCTGACCGCAGAGTGAAGAGAGAGAACTGACCAAGAAAAGCACAGACTCTCTAATAATTTATATTTCTCCTCTTATCCCGGTCAGTAAACTGCATTAAAGGTCACAGGTCTGATACTTTCCTGTTCACTTCACTGCACCTTCAGACTGGATGATGTCCTGCCTCAGTGCACATAGAGATGAACTGTAGAAAGCATGTGTACATCTTCCTTTGCACTGACTGTGTATAACTGTGGCTGTGTTCACCCTGGTTTTATTCAGAAATAACATCAAAAGTCATAAAGCATTAAGTAATTAGAACAGGAGTTAGGAAGTGCTGGGAGAAGAATGATACAGAACAACTGAGTATTTTATGTACCACTGTTCTGATGCTCTATCCCAGAAAAGAGAGTAAAATGTCATTTTATTAACTTTCTATTTGGATTACTTGTGTGTTGACACATAAGCTTTTCAGACATTTTGTTTAGATTTTTTTGAATGAATGGACCCAAGCAGAAACCCAACTTTTCACAACATTAAAATATGACAAACACCTTATAAACTTTCTGTGACAATGACTGCAGATAATTCAGGATTTTGAAGTTTGGTTACGTTTCTCTCAAATCTTATTAGTAGTATGATCCACTTTGTATTATTAACTGATTGCTAAATTAAGTTATTAATGTTGATTGTTTCTGATGTGCTCTGTGTTACAGTGGTACAGAGTCAGAATGACTGGGGAGTGACGTACACTTCTACTAAGATCTGTGCCTTCAAAGGATCAACAGTGGAAATATACTGCACCCTCACATACCCATCCAGAATAAATGACCACAAAACTACAGTTGAGGAAACATTCTGGTTTATAAAAGAGAGTAATTATGATTATGTGGATCTAAGAACGGACCCGACCTATTCAGGTCGTGTGGAGTATAACTGTGATATGAACTACTGCACTCTGAGAATCACAGACCTGAGAGAGAGTGACTCAGCTGAGTACAAGTTCAGGTTCATAACAAACCAACCAGGTGGGAAATATACTGGTTCACCTGGAGTCACTCTGTCTGTCACAGGTAACATTTTCATCTGAATATTTATTTATTTAGTTCCAAATGTTCAACATCTTATGAAGATTACTCACATCTGTATGTGTTTGTGTGTTTGTATATGTTCGGTCCAAAATTAATTATTCACATATTCAGATCTCCAGGTGCAGGTGAGCAGATTACGGGGGTCTACTAATTGGACAGAGCTGAAGTGTCACAGCAGTTGTCTTCCACCTGGTCATCATTACTACGTCTGGTACAAGAATGGACAGAACATTTGGGGACAAACATCTAATTCTTATTCAGCCTACTTTGATCCTGCAGACAGTTTTTCCTGTGCTGTAGGAGGATATGAGAAGTCCCGCTCTCCTTCAGTGTGTGAGTTTACATCCAGTCTTCCACTGACATGACACCATCTGGTGGAGCCTTTAACCTATTGTACTGCACATTAACTGCATGTAACTCAGTGGTATTGCTGATTCATTGTAGAACTGGATGAAAACCAAATCATTTCCCCATGAGATTGTAGACATGTTGCATAATTAACTCTTATTTTCTGTCTTCACTGTAAAATAACTCACAATGAAAATGTATTAAAACAAGATTTGTTATCTTGTCTTTAGACTGTTTAAATTCTTTGGATCAGATCAAACGTGTGCATCATCAGAGAAATTCCCTGATTATCTGTTCTTGTATCTTTAATGGACACTTCTTGGTAAATGTGTTATTCAGTAATATTGTTCCTTACTTTCACGTGCAAAACACTTCATGGGTCCAGGTTTTAACTTATTCTGATCCATCCACACAAACACATGAGTGAAAAGAATGAAGTCAGATATTTTTAAGTGATTAGTGTTACAAGATCTGTCCAATCAAGTTTCCTTGTGGAAGTGATGATGTCAGAAAATGCCACATGTGGGAAAATCATGTCTGACACACATTTTCATTGTTCAATGCACTCATTTAGCTTATTTACCCACTAGAGGTCATCAGTAGACATGGTGGTGTCCAAAGACACTGAACCAGGATCATTTGCTTGGTCTCCTGTCTTCAGCACTGTTGGACATTTTCAGTCTTTATGTCTGTGATGATTTTGTGCTTTAGGTTTTCTGTTTGACTTAAAGATAAGAACATCCTTCTAGTTTGGCCTTAACATGTGTCTTAGGTGAAAACCCATTGCTAATATACAAAAATCAATGAAAGAAAATGAAGGAAATTTCTTAAAGGGCATGTAGATTACCACTCTCCTTCAGTGTGTCTTTAGTCCACTACTTCAGTAACGTCCCAACTTGTATCCATGGTAACAGGAACCCATATAGTTTCTGATACAGGAGGAAATCAAGCTGCACCTCCACTTTGTGTTTGTGTGAAATATTGTCCATTTAATGTGTTAAATGTGTTCATGTTTTCTCCTCCAGATGCTCCAAAGCTTCCCTCTGTGTCAGTGAGTCCCTCTGGTGAGATAGTGGAGGGCAGTTCAGTGACTCTGACCTGCAGCAGTGATGCTAACCCAGCAGCTAAATACACCTGGTACAAGAAGAAAAAAACACTGCTCAGTAAAGAACCACAGCTTGTCTTCAGCTCCATCCAGTCCTCTGACTCTGGAGAGTATTACTGTGCAGTCAAGAATGAAGGAAGAAAGACATCTGGATTAGTCTCTATTAATGTGAAATGTGAGCAAAACACAGTTAATTTAAAACTTATGAAAACTTTTTAAAGTTTAATTATCCAGTCAAATGTTTTACTGATCATGCTCTTTCTTCAGCTCTGCCTGTTTCACATTCACAGTCTGCTGCTGTAGTTCACTGAGCAGCTACAGTAGGGGAGAGCAGGGGCTAAAGAACCATTTTTCAGAAAAACATGATTTTAAGAGATAATGTTTCAGACAGAGATATATTTTTGCTGTGGTCACTAACTCACAGGTGTGGTCTATCAATATCAGGTGGTATTTTGTACAAATGTAGAACAACTTCTGTATAATTTCACTTTAAACATAAGTGGCACATTCTTACTTTTGACCCCGTCAGCTGGGACAAAAGTAATACAACAAAACAAGCTAGATTTTTTGTGTTACCCTTGTATTTAATAAATAACCATGACTGTGACCTTGTTAATGTGTAATTGCAAAGATCTTTTGTCCTTTATCCTTAAAAAATAAATTAAATTACATTTTTATTTTTAATATTCAGTTTCAAAGTAACCTGACAGCCCAAACTTGCATTCTTCAGAGAACATCCTTCTAGTTTGGTATTTCTAACACGTGTGTAGTGGCTAAAAGTCACAAAAAGACAGGTATCTAATTAATGCGTTTGCAGCCGCCATAGGCCACTAGTGTGATACGAAATAATGTTGTTTGCATTTGCCGTTTTGATTGAATTCATTGTTCATCGATGATGGTCTTCAGGTAAATACAATAATCCATAATGCCATCCACTGAATGTTACACATTTTCATACAACCTTTGTACGGCGCCGCCCATCTTAGCGTGCCAGAGCGGTCAAAAACTAAATGAACCTTTGCAAAGGTTCCTACTTAAATTACCTTTGACCCAAAACAGACAGGAGCCACCTACTGGCCCACTGGAGTACTGCACCCAACACAAAAAAAACATAAATGGCCTTATGTGAATCCCCATTGTGTGCACACACACACACTCTTCAGTAGCTTCCCTCTATGTATTAATGAAAGAAAATGAAGGAAACTTCTTATAGACATGTAGATTACCACTCTCCTTCACTCTTTCGTCTACTGCTTCAGTAACAAAGTGTCCAACTTGTATCCATGGTAACAGGAACCCACATAGTTTCTGATAAAGGAGGAAATCAAGCTGCACCTCCACTTTGTGTTTGTATGAAATATTGTCCATTTAAAATGCTCCACTGTGAAAATTCAACCTCATCTTGAAATTAAATGTTAAAAGTGTTCATGTTTTCTCCTCCAGATGCTCCAAAGCTTCCCTCTGTGTCAGTGAGTCCCTCTGCTGAGATAGTGGAGGGCAGTTCAGTGACTCTGACCTGCAGCAGTGATGCTAACCCAGCAGCTAATTATACCTGGTACAAGGAGAATGAAGACTCACCAAAAGCATCAGGACAGAACTTCACCATCACTGACTTCAGAGCTGAACACAGTGGGAATTATTACTGTGAAGCCCAGAACAGAAGAGGACGTCATAACTCCACCTTACATCTGATTGTTGTGGCAGGTAAGTTTTTGCATTAAGCTCACACACACTCTGAAATGTATCAGCTTGTATGTTTTCAGTGAGTGCAGGAAATTGTGGACCTCAGCTGGGGACATTACAGTGTTTTTTAATTCCTTAGGCACAATTTTTCAAACTAGTGGCTATTTTTTAAAACCTCTACACACTAATCACAAAACCTTACACCAATAAACAAAACATTATACATCCCTTGCAAAAGCAAACAATTCTTGCAAAACTATAATACAGTAAACACAAATGCACTGTACTTGGTTCGGATCTGTCTCTGCTTTCTATCTCTGACAGTAGAGAGATAATAATCTCTTTTTAGACAGAACATTCTGATCTACTTTGGCTTTTAGTTTCTTCTTTGTAACGCTCCAAATCAGTTTCTTACATTGTTATAATTTGG